ACTACAGACCCTTGCATACTCTGATGGGACTTTTTAAGAAAATACAATTTTTCCTTGGACTTCAAAAAACAACAAACTACTTTCAGCATCAGAGGACATAACTATCCAATATCAGAAGGGATCCTCACCTGGAAACGCCAACGCCTTGTCTGAAAGACCCTGCTCAGAAAGCTGCCAAAATCATACTAGGGTCGAAGAGAAACACGAAACTGCAGGCTATTCTCCATCCCAGATGCTCATTGGTCATGAGCTTAGTCTGCCTAGTGATCTCTTGTTTGGTCACCTTCTGGATGTGCCTTCATCAACTGAGGAATACATTCAGGATCTACAGGCCCGATTTGAAGTCATGCACAATTTCACATGATAGCAAGTTAACTTGGCAATGGAGAATATGAAGACCCAATACAACATGAGACATATTGGACATCAATTCAACGAAGGAGACAAGATGTGGTTGTGGAATCTGACTCAATGGAAGGGAATCTGTCCTAAACTACAATCACCTTGGGATGATCCATACACAGTCCTAAACAGGCTGGTCATGGTTCGGATCCATAAGTCAGCAAACTCTAAGCCCAAAGTCATTCATTATGACAGGTTAGCTCATTACTATGGCCATAATACATAGTGTATATAATTGTAAATAGTACAAGACCATGGTCCTTTTTGTTTCTAAATTTGCATTTTGCTTGATTTGTATTTAGTATTTGATAATATTTGATTTAAGTTACTTATTGCAATTATTGTTTATGTTGTTTGTTATTTAAATGTAATGTTTATTATTGCATTCATGCCTCAGTTGTAAGTTTGGCTTCCTGTCCAAGGATTGTACTGCCCAGGACTTGCAGTCCTTGGAAAGGGGGCAGTGTTATGGATTTTGTATTTAGTTGGCTATTTTTAATAGAATTGTAATTAAAATGGTCTTATATTCCCGTGCAATGCAGCACAAGACTTATTTTAAGAGAAAGCTATGCCAGAAAAGTAAAAATACAGAAGCACACGTATTTAACTTTTAATAAATAGATACCTCTTAATTTACATTTAAATTGAATAAATGTAAGTTAGCTGTAACCGTAATTCTACTCTTTTTGCTTTCCAGGAATTGCTAGAATTATCTCGCGTGGCTGATTTAAAAGGTTATAAAAGCCAGAGAGAAACATCTCAGTTCAGTTGTTTAGATAACTGTTGTTGTTTATTGTAGAGAATTCATGGTGAGATTGGATTAGCTTCCTCTACACTTTGGATTGTATTGTATTTAGCATTTTAGTAGCTTAAAATATAGCTACTGATTATATTGCATGATACTGTGATATTGTATGAATATCTTTGAGGGAAAATCCAGTGTTTTATTATATTTCTAGTTATAAGAATAAATTTTATTAACTTTGTATCGGACTTGTGCATTCAATTTATTATGAACCATACACATGCAACAATATTATATTCTTTGCACTTAAACCATAAAATTCAGTTCAATAGCAATATCGCAAAATAATTTTAAAATGAGCATTTCTTTAGAATTTCCAATACACAGTCTCGCGTTCTGGAGATTAAAATGTTTTTTTTTCCATACAGCATCGTCATTGCTCTCTGTGAAGTCATTAAGTTTGTTAATCAAAAATTCGTTAAAGTTTTATGAAACAGATAATAAAACAAATTCCAAATTTGGGCTTTTAGATGCCCATATTTGGGTGGAAACGTATGTTATTCAAAATTTGATGACTCTAGGTATCACTATTTTATCACAACATGAGAAACATACATACATTGATGTAGATTCTTCATTATTTAATTTCTTTAAATATAATATAGAGCTCTAATATTTGGTGGCAACAATTTAAAAAGGTAATCAATGCAAAATGCCCAAATGAAATTAAATAGTCCTTCTGAGCAAATTGTCCCTTTGGACTAATAAAAAAAAATGAAACAAAAATACTATGTTTTATCTACATGGGCACAAACGTCCAAAAAAAAAAAAAAAAAAAAGGTGGGGAGAAGGAAAGAAAGAAAAGAAAAAAAAAAAAGTTGAAATGGGTTTATGATCTTAACTCCAAAATTCTTGAATGAGAATATGTTGCCCCGGGGGTAAGAAGGGTATTTAGACAACATGGCAAATATTAATAGCCAGTTAGTTTGGTAAAATACTGCAATTCTAGAAGCCAGTAGAAGTTGTTGCTGACAAAGACCCTCAATTTCTTAACTAAATCATGACAAATGAAAGCCAGTGTTTCTCATTGTTTAACTTGCTCTTGACTACGAGGAAAGTTTTTCATAGACTTAAAAATTCTACAAAGATTGCAGAGAAGAAAAGGTTAAAGGTCTTTTCTGATGTAAAAAATATTGTTTATCTTTAATCTATGGTAGAAGATCAATGATTTGCACAGCCTGAAATTCGCACATCAGCAGATTTTAAAGCTTTGCGTATTTCAGGTCATAAATGAAAAATCATTAAACTTCAAAAAGCTGTAAAAATAAAAATTAATTTATAAAAAGCATATAAAAGCAATTAGTATTTTTCAGAGGGAACTATTAACTAAACATATTATAATTTTATATAAAAAAATAATTCCTGATTTACCATTTCCTGATCAATTACAAATTTCTATACTTCAAAATTTGCCCTTGCTCACAAACGTGCTAATACCTCACAACAACAACAAAAATAGTATTTAGAATTTGAAATTCTGATGCATAAAAAAAATAATTATTTTAATTTCTAACCATAGAGGAAATTAAAAATTCTGTTTGTCTCCACTCACAGAGCAATAATCATCACCTAACATAAATATTGACATGTAATATATCTTGAAACAATAATCGCAACCCTGATGATACATTTAAAATGCATTGCTGAGCCACTTAGCTAGGAAAAAATATAATCATACATGAATATGAGGAACATTTTAATAAGTTTTGTGAAGTTAACAATTCCATAAATTCGATATGTATTTGTAACCCTGTAATCTCTTAGCATATTGCTGGGTGCAACATAATTTTGCTGTGTATTATCTGTAAAACAAAATTTCATTTTGTGGTAATTTAAAAATGATTTTCTTTGTAGATATTCTCTTTACCCCTAAAATAAGTAATAGCATAATTTTACTATTTGGCATTCACCAAATTGTGAAACCCACGTTGCATGAAAAGCATGCCTGGATCACCACCTCATGAATCAAAATATTTAGCACAGTTCACAAGATCACTGGCAGGCTTGCATACATTTTGGCAGCTGCCTTTTCACAGAAGAGTATCAAAATTCCAAAGCATCCTAGATAATCATCTCTTATGGGCACAAGTGATTTCTAGCAAAATATTTATCAGATACCAGTTTTAAAACAAATAATACATAGAATAATAGTATCTTCAACTTTAAAAAAATCCTTGTTGCACTAAATATCCAAATTTCACTAAATATTGACAAAACTATTGAATTTCACTACTGACATAGGCTATAGAGACTATAGAGATGTGAATCTTCTACTGTAAAGGACCACAGTTACACAATAGTACTATCATCCACAAGTCACTCCTGTTCTTGAATTTTTTACTAAAATTAACCCCCCTCCAAGTTAACCTCTCATGTGATTTCTATTTATTTACTTAGGTATCGTGACAACGCGAGGATGTCAGTTTTCTAGCACAAAAGAGTTTTTAAATGCAGTTCTGCTTGGACTTAATCTTCTATAATTTTGAAACTATACTGTTTGTGAAAAGATTATAATTTGAAGCAAAAAAATCAAACTTTGAAGTAGGAGGTTGACTTATACCCGGAACTTCAAAAAAAAAAGTAATAATAATAATAATAAAAGAAAATCTGAAAGGTTTCAGATTTTAAATTACATCCAAAGAGGCCTTTTTTTTTTTTTTTTTTTTTTTTTTTTTTTTTTTTTTTTTAACATTTTGTGTGTTACCTTTATTTATTAAATATCATGTTCTTCGCACTTAAACCATAAAATTCAGTTCAAGAGCAATATGGCAAAATAATTTTAAATTGAGCATATCTTTAAAATTTCTGATACACAGTCTCACACTCTGGAGATAAAAATGTTTTTCCTGTACCACGTTGCCTTTAAAATCCTTGAGTTTGTTAATGAAAAATTCGTTAAAGTTTTATAAAATATGAAATCGATAATAAAACAAACTCCAAATTTCAAATTTGGGTTTCCAGATGCCCATATTAGCAGTAGGATTATGTCATTCAAAATTTGATGGCTCTACATACCATTATTTTATCACAATGCGAGAAACATACATACATTTATACAGATTCTTCATTATTTAATTTCTTCAAATATAATACAGGGCAATAATATTTGGTGGCAACGATTTGAAAAGTGATGCAGCCTTTTAAAGTTTTCAATGCAAAATGCCAAAACAAAATTAATAGTTTTTCAGGGCAAATTGATACCTTTGAACTAAGAAATGAAAAAAAAAAAAAAAAGAGAGAGAGATCTGCTGCTGATCGATGACATGTCGGCAAACTTGGTTATTAAATAAATCTATTCTTTCCATTTTTTGTTAAATTTGTTTGGCAGCTTTGATAGCATTTCTAGCACATATTCACGCCCAGAAAAATGGTTGGATGGATTGGTTTCAAAATTGATTGAACCCTAATGATTCATTGGTTTCAAAATGTATGGTACAAAAAATTAGGTGCACTTTTAGGGAAGCCTTCACTTTTGATTTGGGATATGTTTCAACCGCATCGTGCTGATCATATGCTAAAATGGAAATAAACAAAAATTTGCTAAAATGTGAGTGTAATTTTATCAAGTACACCGGCATGCTGTTTTGTCGGCGATAAATTTGTTTTTCTGAAAACATTTGTCAAAAGTCGGGGGATCGACTTATACGCTGGTATATATGGTATTTTTCAGAATGATAGCTGTAAAGACTTAGGAATTATGGATACATTCCCTGAACTTTCAGAACCCATTACATACATATAAATATATTTTTGCATTTTGTTATCATCAGTTAAAATATAATGGAAAATGTACCTTGATTTTCTCAAGAACTGATCTTGTAACACCTGGTTCTGCACCAACAGAAGTAGCACTCTCTTAAAATACAACAATAATTAATAAGTTTTAGAACAATAAACAACGTTTTTTACTATTGATTTATACCACATAAGAATAATGCATGGCTTTGTGTAACTCACTTCGTTTTAAATGAAGATTTCTTAATCTGTTGATAAGAGATGACTTGCCTACATTTGGAATTCCAATAACCATTAGGGTAAAAGATGATGTCTATTAAGAAATATGCAGATAAATTTCTTGCTTGAGAAAAATATACAGCAATAATATAATAAAAAGTTTGGATGCAGTTATATAATACAGGATGTGAAAGATAAAATTTTCAATCAAATAACATTTTTTTTTCCAAATTTTAACCTTGCATAGCAGTTATACTTGGATTGTACAGAAATGATTGACACGACGGCTCTCACAATGAAATTATTACACTACATGAAGGCAAAACAAGTGAAATAGACACAAGGGGGTGTGAGCTACTCAGAATGCATAGATAGAGCTGGCTGCAAATTGAATGGTATAAGTCAGCACCCGTCCCTTTCGCCGTCATCATTGAGAGCATGGACAGCAATGATGAAAGGTGATTATAATGGTCAGCATTGGACGGCATGGTTCCTATGGAAGGAAGGGATATAGGGTAGTGAGTTCCACTGTCGCAAAGCACCCTCAAGGCATACCGTATCCCGTTGGTTGGCCAAGTTCAGCAGTGGAGTGGAGACTGCAGCTAAAGGTGTCAGCGCAGGCGACCAACAACATTTCATACAACACAAATGTGGCAGCCGTATCGGTTTTGATCATGGCGAACAGGCACATAACATTCAACAAGACTCAAGAAAAGACAGGGCTTGGGCAAGGAACATTGCATGCGATTGTGCATGATGATTTGGAGATGACAAATGTGTGTGCAAAGTGGGTGGACCTCGAACCAAGACCTCGGACTACGCCTTGCTTGACAACAGGGGCATCTTCTGCCAAATTGCATGCAACTGCCTGTGGGTGGTGCACCAACTAGCCCCCAGACTAGTTTACTAAAAGCCCTTCGGGACCTTCCAGCCAGATAGTAGAAGTGTATTGACATGGGTAGGGATTATTTCTAACTGATGTACTATCAGTTTTTTGTTAATAAATTGTATTTCTCTCTGTGGCAGCATCTGTGTCATTCATTTATGTACGACCTAAATACTTTGATTATTAAATAAAATTACAGTGTGAAACAAATTTTGAAAACTGTAAATAAACAAAAGCATAGAATACATAAGGTTCTTAAAAAAAAAAAAAAAAAAGAGAGAGAGAGAGAGAGGAACGAAAAGAAAGAAATTGCATTTACAATATATGGCTTACTAAATAAGAAACTTACATTTCCTCTGTTGTAAAAATCGGTATCTTTCATCAACTCTGTAACCAATGGAATGATCTGAAAAATTTAATATCAGCTATTAAAAAAATATATAAAAGTATATCCATAGGTACTTAAATGCATTACTGTAACCACCCTTTGTACAGTTTGTAAACTTTTGACAAAAGAAAATGATGACTTTTCATTGCGAAAAAACTGTTTATTACATAATATATATATATATATATATATATATTGCCTTTTAACTAGATATTTATTCTGAAAATCACTTATAAATGGCAATTTCATGCTGATCACTTTAAGAATAAATTCACAGCAACTGCTTCGCTTTAGGAATTATGCAGTTAAATACTCGGAATTTAATAATACTAAGGCTTTATAATACTAAGGAATAATTTTTATAATACCAGAGCTAAATACTCGGAAATTCACAGCAACTACTCGCTTTAGGAATTTTGCAGCTGCATACTGCAGAAATCATATTGCTAGTAAATCCTGTAAATGCATAATTTAAATAGGAGTTTAAAAGTATCATGATTTATTCACATTTGCATATTATCCCATTGACTTAATCCATTAATCCATGAAAGTTCGCAGAAATCCCCCCAAAGCTCTGTCAATCATTCCTGCGAAATTACTAAAATAACTGTAGCTTCTTTATTTAATAAACAATAAGTATTTGATCCGTTTAATTATAATAAGTATTTGATCCGAACACTATACGATGCCAGTCTGGTGGCAGCCATGATGATTGGCTGCAACACCACTCCAGACGACTCCACCGATGTTGTGGGATCAATGCAAACCTCTTAAAGACCTCTGTAACCATAAACGTACATCAGACAAGTGCCGTGAGATGGTGGACGGTACCCCGGGAGGTATAGTGTGGCTGCAGTGTATTGAATAGTTGACAATGATACCGTTGGGGTGGTTCAGGCCTGGTGTTTAACAATCATCCTTATCTTGACTCTCATTTGTGCTCCTTGGCCTTCCAGAGTCTTCATTTCATCAGCAATTTCCTTGTAGCAACCACTGCTGCCAACATCTTTGCACAGCAGTGTCTATACGTTGCAGGTGGAGGCCTATTGCTCAGTATGACCACCCAGCTTCACACAACCTTACAATGCGACCACGTTCGAAGTCATTTAGTTGTCTGTAAGGTATTCGATATCGTCGTAATGGCATCTTTAGTTCCTTCTTTACGGAATTACAATAGCAGCAACAAAAAAGATAAATTTTCCACCTCTGTTACTGGTTTTATATTTTGCGAATTGAACACTAGAAATGTGTGCTATGATCGCAATTCCTGTTCATTTGCCTTGAAACTTTAATCATTTGCATGTTCAATCAAGATGTTTTTGCATACCAAATTTTGTCCTGATTACGAAAGTCCTTCTTGGTGCTTCGATTTTTTTGCGAAAGAGTGTATATCATTTAAGCAAAGATTGTACCCTTTCCTCTCATAATGCAGGAAATTTTGAATTTAAAATAAAATGTATGTAGCTTAGCATACATATAAAAAATTTATATGGATCACCACTTTCCAAGGCAGAACAAAAGTAGAAGTTACTTTACATACACAATCTACGAAAAATTGTGCGAGAAGTGATAATAAATCACTCTCTCTTCTGCCATAGAGCTTATTTGGTTGAATAACTTAGTCCCTTTATTCTCCTCAATATCAACATGCCAACCCTGAAATATGAAAAATTGGGAGGTTCTTGTGAAAAAAGAAAAACTGGGTGTTTTTGCACTGCACAGCACAATCATTTCGAAAGATCTTCAAACTGACTTAAATTCACTTTTTAATACATGATTTAGGTTATTTAAGTTTATGATTCTGATATGAAATACATTAATATTTAATTACAATTTCTAAATTTTGTATTCTTTGGATAGTTTTCTTTTGTAATTTTCAATTTTTGTACGGAGAAATCCTGATTTGAGAAGGAAAGCTTTAATTTATGAAAGTTCTTTCAAAATTATGAAAATAAAATTAATATATACCTACTGTTGTATGGATAAATATAATACATACCATTTACTGATGTAAAACAAAATCAATTACAAATATTTACTGATTAAACACTGGTTGAATCTTCACATAAAACTCTACAAATGTCTTCAGCTGATTAAGTTAATTCAGAACAAATAAAATTTCAGAAGAAAAATTAAGTTGAAGATCACTTAGGAGCTGAGGGAATAAACTTGGTCTAAAAATAAAAACTAGGAGATTTAGTGATCTGCTGGGAGATGTAACAACAAAAAAAAAAAAAAAAAAAAAAAAAAAAAAAAGAGGGGAAGAGTTAGCAGCTATGCTATCAGTACAACATGGCTACCACCAATCCACAATCCACTCACCAATAATTCTGCATAAATTTACACGATAGCTATTTCATACTTTAGACAGATCTGCTGCCACATGAGCTTTTTCAATCACTTTCAAAAATGAATAAAGCATTTCTATTTATCTTTTCAGCTTTTATTATACAGCTAAATTATAGACCTTTTTATTATTAACAAGATGCTGTAACTCGTGCCAGCTTCTTGAAATCGCAAAACACAGAAAAACATTCACTGATGGAAAAATGATCAAAGAATGCATAATTGCAGTAGCCGAAGAAAAGTGCCCTGAAAAGTAACATTTATTCAAAACTGTCAGTTTGTCAGCAACTGTGGCTTGGAAGGTAAAAGACATCACAGAAAATATATCATCTTAACTGTCTGACAAAAATAGTTCCAAGAGTACAAAACAGACATCTTGAATGGTTTTCTCTAGCTTTGGATGAGTCAACAGATGTGTCAGATACTGCTCATATGTTGATTTTTATTCGTGGAGTATATAAAAGCTATGAAGTGCATTAAGAACTTCTTGATATTGATAGTATTCATGGCACAACCACTGGGAAAGATATTTTATAGGAATTAAAAATGCATTAATAAAAAGAACCTTCAATGGAAAAACTTGAAATCTATTATTATGATAGAGGCAGAAATATGTATTAAAAATAAAGGAGTGGTTGCTCTTGTGTCAAAGATTGTAGAAAATGATGGTGGATCAAAACCATTAATCTTACATTGTATCATTCATCAACGATCCTGTCATATCAGTTGTTAATTTTATCAGATCCACTCGGCTGAGTCACCGCCAATTCCGTGAGTTAATTGAAGAGATTGGAGAAAATGATTTACTATATCATAATGTCGTAAGCCCATAAGCTGGCTTAGCTGTGGAAAAATCCTTCAGTACATTTTTGAACTTCGAGAAGTGACTGAAATTTTTTGAATGAGAAGCATTGCCCTGTTACTGAAATACAAAATAGCGAATGGCTGTTTAAGTTAGCATTCTATGTTGATTTGACAAAACATATGAAAGGAATTTGAGATTGCAAGGAGAAAACCACAATTCTTCCTGATTTATACACTAACATCAAATAGTTCCCGCAGAAAATAATACTGTTTCAATCATAGATACGTAAAAAAATGTTTTTAAGCTGCACTACTGAGACTGAATTTCTTGTTGATTTTGCTTTCGAAGCTTTGAGTGCTTTGAAGATAAATTTTGCTACTTGTTTCTCAAGCTTTGATGTCATTGTGAATGAAATTAAGATTTTTTAAAATCCTTTTGATACTGACATTGAAATCCTAGCCACATAACTTCAAATGGATATTATTGATTTACAGTGCAGCAATATAATTAAGAACAAATATCAAAACTCATCTTTGATGGAATTTAATAAGAGTCTTCCAATTTTCTTCTAAGAGTACAATTTAATAATTTACATATATTTTACATATATTTAATAATTTACATATATCTGTTTTCCGTTTTTGGTACTACTTACTGAGAAAACATTCTCCAAAATGAAGTACACAAAGAATGTTTACACAGCTAAGTCAACTGATGAGCATCTTAAATCTCTTTTAATAATTGGTACAAGTAAAATTGGTCCACAACTACAAACAATTCTCAGTGGAAAATCACAATTACATAAATCTATTAGTATTTTTTACAAAAGGACACCTTGTCATTCAGCTTTACTTAGCAAGTAAATAAAACTGAGTTATTATTATTTCAGGTTTTTTATCTAACTTATCACAGCAACAATAACAGCACTAAGCCATTAGCTGTCGCAGGCTGAATTGATGATATTGGCGGGCCATAATTTGGAGACCCCTGATCTAGAGCACGAGTTGCATTATAATGGTAATGAATATATTTAAGGATCAGAAAATAAATTTCGATTTTCTAAAAACAGAAAGAATGATTTGAAAGACAAATCTAAATATTTATTTGTTAAGTTGGATACTGGCTCTCCAGGTAATGTGTTATCATTGCCTAAGTTTAAACAATTGAATTTAAGAGATAAATGTTTGACTGAATCAAAAGTCACTTTAAATAATTACAATTGTTCTAAAATTTATGTAATTGGAAAATGTAAGTTCTTATGTAAGACATCTTAAGTTGATAAAGATGAAGTAGACTTTCAAGTAGGAACATGTGATAAAACAGTTCCAGCTATTTTAGGTTTACCTACATTCAGTCCCGGATCTGGGGGGGGGGCAAGCCGGGGTCTGTGCCTCGGGCATCGACTTTTGCGCGAGGCAAATTCAAGCGTGGTCCTGGATCATATTTGGAATGATGTCAAATTTTGATACAACATTGTTTTAGACAGCTTTAAAACCTCTTTGAAAAATATTTATATTTAATTACTCGGAAACCTTTTAATGGAACAAACAGTTAAAATTAAGCTAAGTACAGCCAAATATTACTCTAAAGATAAGATCAGAGAGAGGACAAAAGAGGGACTCCAGACGTCACTAACAAAGTCAGACAAACCTGACTCTCTGCCAAACCAACATTTAATTTTTTTACAAAGACACTCCATAAATGCCTTGTCGTTTGGTCCCTGTAAGTGACATCTAGAGTCCCTCTGTTGTCCTCTCTCTAGACAGGGATATTCAAATGAGAAACAGAATGATAGGACAAAGGTTCCTTTTTCATACCAGCGCATTTTGGGAAATAAATGGTGAAGCATTGTAAATTGTAACTTTTT